TTATATATATATATATATATATATATATTGTATATTGTATATAATATCCAAAAATTAAAAGTCAACAGAGAAAAATAAAGAAATAAAAAAATCCAGTGAGAAAAATACTACTCGATGACGTCACCACCTAATTTTTATTAAAAAAGATTATTAATGCATAAGGTTATTAATGCACAGATACACATCGATATGAGAGATATTTCAATCTTAGCCAGACACAACGATCTGAACTTGATTGATAAGACGGTGCGATTGATGTCACGCGTGATTTTTAAAACTATCAAGCGTAATCGAATGTCTGTAAAATAACGGTATCGGAGATAGAGCAAATGACGACGGCCCAGCCCAGGTAACCCAGCCCAACGCATCGCTCTCCATTCCGGTCAACCTAGTTCTTCGTCAACTCGTCGTCGAGTGCGTAGGTAGTACGCATACACGCCGAGTGACCGAGGGAGATCATTGGAGAACAAGGTCAATCGGTCTGAAGATGAAGAAAACCAGATGATCAAGCTCCTGACATCGAGAAAAAGGTGGGCCAAGATAGACACAATCGCATGTAAACAACCTTTACGCTCGATCTCTTGGCAATTAATGTTATCGATGAAGGAATCTCATTAATTAAACACTTCAGTTAAACTTTCATGATTATTTAGCACACAATGTGCATGAGTGTTCTTTTTTGGCAGATGAATTAATAAAGTGAATAATATCAAAATGTGAAATTATTTCTCATTTGAAAAAGGGTTAATGTTACTAATTATCTTTTTCTCTTTCAAAACGATATTGCACGAAGAAAAACAGTCTATCGAAAATATCTTTTCACACTACGCTACTCTTTCACACTACGCTATATTCATCAAATAGTGGATAAGGTTAAAGAGAATAAGGTTAAGAGAATAATTAAAACTTGTTAAGTAGAACTTGGGAAACCTTAGATTTTCATCAATTCACTTTCGTCAACGCGTTTTATGCACTTGGTTGTTCGACAAGTTTTGTACTACGTAATTCTATACAGTTTGGTATAATTTATTGTAAAAAATACGCATCTGTAATAATTAATGGATAACAAAATAATATATATATATATATATATATATATATATATATTATATAATAAATAAATAATCTAAAAATAATCTATACAATATCAATTGCAAAAATATAAACTGTCTCAATTAATGTAACATTACATATAATCTGTCTGCATTTTGTCTCTCAATCATTCTTTATACGCGACGCTTTAAAAACACTTATTCTTGTGCGAAATGTCCCAAATATATTCAGATCTCAAAATATTTTTTAATGTATTAATCAGAAATGTATAAAATAAAGTACAAAAAACTAAATTTGTCATGTATTTGTCATTATTATGCTAAATCAAAAAGAAACAACTTTGCGAAAATCAAGCGTTTAATTAAATAACTGTAATTTCATACGTAAGTAAAATGTGGCCTCTAATAAAAATCTCTATATGTAAAATATATTTTTTATAAAATGACAAATGACAAATAACAACATCAATGAATATACAAAAATCAGAAATCAGAATATTCGATCAAGTATTAACATGAGTTCAAGATTGATTTTCTTTCCTGCGACAATCCCGCTAGCCTTTCAATGACCTTTATACCGCTCTATAGTGAGAGAAAATTAATCAGAATAATTAATTGAAGGACGAAGGTAAGCATTATTTCTCGATGCGTAATGCGACTTTCATCAAACTGTCATGTACGGTTGATTCATTCTAGAAAGCACTATTTCCTATAGTTAGAAAATCACTCTGCGGCGCGATCCTCAAGAACAGAATTAATCCCATTTTATTTTAAATGAAAAAAAATATATTATAATGATGTGTTTTCGTAAAATAATTACGAGTTTTCACGACTGGTTCGTGATCGGGCTCCGCCGTGACACACACCCTCCCTTCTTATTTGGGTGTGATATAATATATGTGTGAGAGTTGATTAAATTAATCAGAATTGTGCTTTCTCGCCACGGGCGATACGCCTGCTCAAATGTCAGCGGCGCCGGCGAGTCATGGGAGCGATTATGTTTATCGTGCAATTGTTCCATTCTACAGCATTTCTAGATAATAAAAGAGGCGGGCATCTTATCTGCGAAATGATTATTTGCAGAACCAACAGCGAAATGGAGATATGCTGTTACGTCGACAACAAAGCAAACCATACGCCATTTCGCGTTCTCCTCTCGCACAGGACTTCTAATAAAGCAAGTTTAAGTGCAAGTTCGAACAAAGGTGGTGTGCGATACGGTTTGTGAAGCTAATAGCACCGATAATGCGCACATTTGAAATAAATCGCGCAAATTTGAAGATTTATCTCGAATGATCTGCCCCGAGGCCCCGGGAGGCCTTTGAGACGTTGGAAAATTGACCCGAAGAAACTGGAAAGTCTCTCGAACGCACGTTACTCATATCTCACATTACTCATATCTTTGCGATGATGAACAATGTATTCCTTCGTGCACGATTCATTCATCCTAACGCCTGTGTCTCCACTCTATTTCTCGCTCGAGTCGCGATGTTTTCGCACGGGGGTCCGGGCTCCCTAATTAATAACGTGACGGGATAATGAAGAAAGCATGGAGAAGCGCGAAGGGAAAGTGCGCCACATATTCGAGTCTCACCTTCGAGTCCCACGAACTCTTCCGCTTGTGCTCCATCGCGACGGTCATTTTTTTTTCTATCTCGTGATCTCGCGCTCTCGCGCTTCGTCAGCCCTCCTTCAGAACTTGGCCGCCTCGAAGAGTCGCAAGAATCATCGTAGATTCCTTTCCTTCGTAAGAATGCGTATTAACGAACGATGGATGACCATTCAAGGACGATCAACTATTCGTTTTCCGTATCTTAAGAATCGTAAACCTGGATATCGACAAGATGCATCTCCCGCTTTCCGCTTGAGGATGTTATAGCGTCCGATCGCTGTAAAGAGAGAATACTTAAATTTAATAAATTTGTTCTGTAGGAACAGTTAAAGTTTATGGATCAATTCTTTTTTTTTCTTTTAATAAATGCATGTCGGTTGCCATGCGTATGATGGAGGGAGCGCGTAAATAATACGATCGGTAGTTTACCGCTGCTGAC